TATTGCCATTACGGATGGACTTAAGAAAATCATTTTGCCGGCCTGTTAATTATGATTGTAAAACAATAGCGTTAGTATTCTTAACCTCCACAGAGTTGGGTCAAATACGAATTTGAAAATGTAAACAATACTCTCAATATACCAAAAAAACAAAAAACGTAAAACACAACCCTCGGTTAAGATCGATAACGTAGCTAAATTTATAATTTTTCATTGGGGATAACTAACAATGAATATTGTAAAATTAATGTTTTAAGTTATCCAACCTAATTATTTCTTTGAACAAATAAGTGTTAAAACAATGGCCCAAAAAAGGGAAAAAGTGTTCGGACTGCAAAAGCAGCAAAAACGTTCTCTTTAAACTGCGTTAAAAAGAAAGCTTTCTATATGACCTCTTAATATCAAATCCAGGCTACAAACCAAAAATCGATCTCAATACCACATAGTGACGCACATGACTTAAAACATAATGCTAAGACGCAAAAATAGATAAACACAAGGAACATTAGCTAGATCTAGGCCAACACCTCAACAAACTTAACTGTTCTGCAGTCTCTCCAATGACAAATGCTGGAAAAAAAGTAACTCAAACAGCTAGATGGATTTTGAAAGAAAAAAAAAAAGGCTAATAAAACCTGTTTGGTAGGGCTCGGTAATGTCCAAAGAGAGAACTTCGTGGAGCTCAGCAATTTCATAATAGACTTGGGGTTTCTGCATATCGAGTAATGCCTCCCAAGCATCTTTGGCTGAATCTATCTTCTCTATTCGATCAAATGCTTTTGCTCCACATGAAATCTTAATGGCATGCAGAGCTAAAGCATTCTTTCTACTCCACACCCTTTCATCTGTTTCTTCTGTCATCGGCCTTGGTTCAATAACATCCCAAACATCTTGAGCCACTAAGTAGTGTTTCAATAAAATGCTCCACCTTCTATAATTTTTTTTTTCAAGAACTTCTTGTACAATCGTGTTTGGAGGCGGAGTAGCTATTTCCATGTTAGCCTATGAAACATTTCACCATGCATAAAACTAATTAACTTCAGCACTATTTTCTTTTTGCAGAAGAATTTCAAACTACCAAAAAAAAAAAATGACAATAAGCAGCATGGCATACGTGATGATACAAAAACTGATGCCAACATATATAAAGGTGCTCTCAATCTGGTTAACGAAAAGAATTTGATTATATGACATCCCAAATCCTACATTGGTGTTTATATTTTTGCTATTACTATATTGTCATTAAAATTGTAAAAACAAAATTCAGTGATAAAATCATATATCCCACAACAATATGTATGGTTAAAATAATAAATTTGAGAATAATAATAAAAAAGTTCAAATATTATTCAAATTAAATAAATGAGAAGTAATAAAAAAAGGTTAAATTTCAAATAATTTACCTCATAAAAAAAGATGCTAACTCTGTAAAAATTTAAAAAAAAAAAACATTATTATGCATAGGATCCCTACATGCTATTAAAAAATTATTATTATTATTATTAACTCTGCAAATTATTATTATTATAATTAAAAAAATTTAAAAAGAAGCTACTCTTCTCAAACTCCCTTAAATATTCTTCTACCGAACCAGTCTGAGTTACATTTTTCCATTGTATCATAGGATCCAACATGCTATAATTAATCACCAAATCTCAAACTCATATAAAAAGTATACTCCTTCCAACAAAGGAACCCATTATGAATCTGACAGCAAATATGGCAGCAATTTAATTGCAAATATGATGGAAATAAAGCTGTCAAATGGCAGGAAAAATGTGCAAGAAGCTAAGCTGCAAATGTTGATAAAATGAAGCTGCAATAAACAGCAAATGAAATGCAAATCCAAATGAAATGAAGGCTGCAAAATCACAGCAAGCATGCAGCAAAAGTGGTTGTCTTTTACTTGTTTTAGATGTACTTTTATTATTGCCTTTTAATGTAGAAAAGTTGCTGAGACCAAAACAATGTTATGTATACTGTACCGATATCGGCTAGTGCGTACCAATTTTTGCATTAAACCAACATAATATATGATTTAATTTCATTTCAATCAAATTTTATTTGTTTCGATCAAATTTCATTGTACTAACCCATATTTTCGCTATCAACTGGTACAAGAAAATTAGCCAGTACACTCAACGCAAATTTAAAAAGGGTAAATTCTATTTTTGGTCCTTAACTTTAATGTTTTAAGTAATTTTTATTCTTTACTTTTTTTTATGTACTTTGTTAGTCCATCAATTATGAAAAATAAATTTTTTTAGTCCTTCTATCAATTACTGCGTTAAATTTGTTTAAATATACACATTTTTAGTCCTTTAAATTAAATGGATGAACAAAAAATATACATATATTAGAAGTTAAGGGACTAAAATAATTATTTTAAACTTATTTTCAATTTATAAGAATATGATGATCATAAACATTAATATCTTTTATTTTATTTTAAAATTTAATATTTAATTTATAAAAATATATATTTATTGCAACAAATCCGAAACGAGAAAAATTTCAATATTCGTCAGGTACCATTTTAGTAGCAAAATGGATATGCATACCAATACACTATTTACAACTTTGGACCAAAAAGCAAAAAAAAAGGAATATTTTGAATTGGTTTTAGAGCCTCTTTGGTAGAACTTCTAAGAGCTTTAGTTTTTTGACACTATTTATATTTTATAAATTTAAATTTCTTTTTTAAAAATTTATATTTTAAATTTTCTTTAACCTTTTTAAGGCTTCAAACAGTAAAAAGATAAAAAGTTTCAAATCCAAGTTTTTTACAAACCTTCTTTTTACTCACTTTTTTCTATCTCTAAAAGTTAAATTTTCCCTCCAATAAAAATTTAAACTTATTGTTCATAAACAGTACAAAAAAAGCAAAAACTTCAACCTGCTCCACCAAACAGGCCCCATTGTTTTCTGCTATATAAAGCAGAGATTATTATGAGAAGATCTTAGTTGGAGTGTTATACTCCTATCCAACTTCGTTTTTGTTCTATTCTTCATCTTTCTCTTGATTTTCTCTCTACTGCTTTGCGAGAGAAAAAGAAAATCGACAGTTTAGAAGATCAAGCTATTGCCATGTTTATTGCTGGTTTAAAGGAGGAGTTACAGCATTTTGTTGTTTGTCAACACCGTAAATCTATTGTAGAAGCCTTTTCCTATGTCAAACATCAAGAAGCTACTGCAAAATCTATCCTAAAGAAAACCAAATTCCAAAGTTCACAGGCCTATACCAGAGCTCTTCCACCTTTAGTACCTTTGCC